CTCGTACACACAACTTAAGAACAAATCTGTGCGTACGAACGGTTCTTGCATGAGGCCCAATGTTTCCAGGCAAATTTGCACTCAAAGTATCTTAAAGCTGAAAGCATCTGTAAACAAGRAGAGTATATGTAAACTCATTTAAAAATTTTAAAGAGGCATCTTTTTAATTTTACAAAAGGTTTGGCTTTAGTGTGAGAACGATTCTCAAAGTTTTGCACAGAATTTAATCCAGACAGCGCTGATCAATCAGGTAATTTGATCATTTTTTATTTACTAAAATGCAAATATATTAAACATGCAAAATAAAATTTTATTTCTTATCTTTTTATTCAAAACTATATTCCTGACAGCAGACAGTTACTGTTGGGTTCATTCAGTAAGGTCTATTTACTTGACATTACTTGTAAAAAGTTCATATTTTTACTTTTCTTTCTTTTCAAAGTCTCATCTCATCAAGGACAAGGTGTTTTGTTTTGTTTTTTTGTTTGTTTGTTTGTTTGTTTTAGTCCAGATTAAATGTGACTTTTTTGAAATCTTGCATGAAACTGAGGCTGTATAATCCTGCTTATAGATCCTGTCACTAATATAAAAATCCTCTCGTTATAATGTGTGCAGCTATCGCAAGTTCAACCACTTCGATGAGCTGTCGAGTCGGTTCTGGTTGCGTTCGTGGGCGGGGTCAGCGGATTCACTGGACAATCCCGCTTTCACCCGGTCCGATGAGTTGATGCACCTGCGAGCGCTGGACCGCCCCTGCTGTTACCATGATGACACGCTGTCGCTGGCTTCCTCTTGTCCCAGCCAYGGGGCGCACATCAATACGATTTACCCTCACAGGTGAACACACACTCAGTACCACACATGAACTGTTGGTGTGTACGCYAGCTTTGTTTCTGAAACTTTTGTCTACTTTTATCATCTTTTTGAGTTTGTAAGCTGCCCTTTGTTTTTCTGGCAATCTTTACACGAAGGGGGCCATTTTATTTATACACAAAGCATTCTGGGTAAACGATGACGTGGATAGGTCCTTGGTGCGAGGCTGCTGGCGAGCTATATCCACCTGAAGGTATCTGACGATTGGCTCTTTTAAATGAAACTAGAGAGCGTTGACAGAGAGGAGAAGGTAGAAATGATTCAGTCTGTAACTGAAAATATGGATGGAGGACAACAGAGCTGCTTCATGGAAGAACCCCAGCTTAGCCTTTGCGCTAGCGCCGAAGCTAAATTGCCTTATATGTATTAGCTCGGTGCTAGCGCGGCAAACTAACAAGCTAAACTGAGGTCCTCCATCCATATTTTCAGTTGCAGGCTGAGTCACTTTTGTGTTCCCCTCTCTGTCATGTGGATGGAGGACCTCAGTGACGAGAGGAGAATGTGTAGCGCTGAGGTAACAGGCTAAGCTGAGGTTCTTCTTCCATGAAGCAGCTCTGTTGTCCTCCATCTATATTTTCAGTTACAGGCTGAGTCATTTCTACCTTCTCTCTGTCAACGCTGTCTGGTTTCATTTAAAAGAGTCGATCATCAGATACCTTCAGGGTGGATACAGCTCGCTGGCAGCCTCGCACCAAGGACCTATCCACGTCATCGTTTACCCAGAATGCTTTGTGTGCAAATAAAATGGTCCCCTCCGTGTAATATATTTTTAAACTTTTAGTTTAAAAATGATAAAAACTGAACATTCTACAGTCTTTATTTTACAGTTAAAATATGTTTATTAAATAAAGTCTAATGTTACAACTAATCGTGGATCCCTTTTAAAAACCTGTACCATGACCCATGACCTCTGCGTTCTGTTCTTTAAAGTTCTGTCTGTGTAAACAACCCCTGGGCTCTCTGTTTGCTCTRCAGCTCCCAGTATGGTTGGAGGGGGAGTGGAATGAGTATGGGGGATGGTGTGTTGGACTCAGGGAAGGCCAGTGACCTGTCTGTCTGTAGTTGGCCTGTGGAGCCCATCCACTGGACTCCGTTCCCTCTCCTGCAGCACCTGGCGTCCCACAGGACACCCAGGGTGAGTGTGGAACCATGTGTTTGGTGTGGAAGAGAGAAGAACGGTCTGATTTTTACGTGTTCTTACTTCAAACCAGGTCAGGGTGACACGACCCCGGTCCTACTGTGAAGGCATGGAGCTGGTYGACCTGGGAAAAAGTTGGACTGCTTGACACACACACAAAAAAAGAAGCAGATATTTTCTTCCATTGTTTTAAATGCTAAATGTTACTTTTTCACTTATAAAACCTGTAAAATGCTAAATGTAAATGTGTGTGTATGTTGACTGAATAATTGCTAAAAATTTGACAAACTTCTTTTATTTTTAAAGGTGGTGTTGTTCTTTTGTATTTATCTGATTAATTTCCACGTGTGTTTATTGAGTAATGCTTTAATAAATAAAACAAGGCAAATGTTTTATTTTGTACATTTTTAGAGAATAAACATCCTTGTCAGCRTAAACTTTCTTGGCCAAATTTTATTTTATTTTTTCAGAAACCACAAATAATGACAAAGCCCAAAATAATTGCCATCAATTTGTCACAAGTTATCTAAAATGTTATAATGTGACAGGGCCCTTGGGACAGCAAGAAGCTGATTGTAGTTTAACTTAATACCCCGAATGTCTTAAATTTTGTTAACCTTTTAAACGACAAAAAAGCAACAGTTTTACCTTCCTACCCAAATCACGTTATAAGGATTTATAAGAAAAAAATTACCTCCCAAAGATGTTGAATGTAGAACATTAACAAGTTGGGGACACATGRCGTGATGTTGAAATTCTTTTGAATGCAATAATTGGTAATTCTGAACKTCTGGTTTGCAAACTGGAAAAATTACAGAAAACTTAACATCAGAGTTCAGACTTTAATTACTGTGATGCTGGGTCAAAGTGCAGAAATTTTAATTTCAGCATTAATTTCTAACACTTGCCTAAACCTAAACACTACCAGCACATGCCTAATGTAAACTTAAATATTCCCACCTTAGCCCTAAACCTGACTCAAAATATGTTTCACTGTGTTAGGACCAGAGTTTATTTTCTGCAGAAGGACTTCCAGCCCAGACAAAATAGGTGGTTATACCAGAAAAGTTCATTAAAAAAGAAGCCCATAACCACCTACACATATTAATAAAACAAACATTAAATGTATGCAACTTCTTCACTGAAAACATCACTCTTAAAATATTGCTGTTTTGTACAAATTAAATTGCCACCCACACAAAGTGAACAACTAATTTCGAGGCTTCCACTGAATTAATTACAGTTCTGTTTGGAACCAAACTCTTTACATCACCATGTTGAGTGTCTCTCAAGTCTTTATTCAATTTTTACAGAAGCTTAAAACTGTTTACTTCCCTGAAATATGCACAAGCTGTTCATTACTTTTGCTCAACTCATATTTCAACAACAAAATGACTACTTGTGTGCTGTAAGATGGCCAAAAAAGTTACCCTCATACAGGCTGAACACACCCCGCTTTATGAATGAACTCTGGTGGAACGTGACGTAATACGTGACTGGGAAAGAATGGCAAGGAGTGTAATCATGCTGACTGACCCTGTGTCGCACTCCCACAACTGTCTGTGATGTCAAATAACACGAGAGAGATGGATACCAGCGGAGGAGGAGGAGGGGAATGTGATGAATAAAGGAAGTGAGCTAATTAGTGCTTTAAGGGAGAGACAGAGCACTGGGAGTTGATTGTAAAGTGGACACAAGATACCTGCTGGCTTTTTTTCCTTATACGGTCTTAGTCAAAGCAGAGAGCCAGGATTTGATAGTTTCTCTGTGTGAGTGAACAATGCAGAGAGGGAGTGCCTGGTACATGTGAGTGTGTGTTGTATGTATTAGTCATGGGGCATGTTCTGAAATGGTACAAAAGTCGACGGGAAATGTTGAGAAACCTCAGGAAGCAGATAAGTGAGCAAAAAGATGCTAAAATGTGTTGATAATGCAACTTTTTTTAGGACATAGAAACAAGATGAATAGTGTCACACAGCCACAAACACACACGCAGCCTTAAAAAGACAGACTCATTCATTTCCTCAGACTGGTCACATGATCTGAGCCTTGCATTTTTCCCCCTTGTGTGACGCCCTCCAATATCTCCTTATATGGATGCCATCCAAAAGAACTCCTAAAGGGATGGATGGCTGTCCTGCTCTGGGCCTAGACTTGGTGTATGTGTGTGTGTGTGTGTGTGTCCCTGTGCATGTGTTCAGCCTCTGTCTAAAGCTGGATAAGACCTGTTTGTAAAAAAAAAAATAAACAATTCCCTGATCAGCTCATTCACCCCACCATCCCTCAATGTATATACTGCGCTGAGCTGCAGGAACTTCCTGCATGCATCTTAAAAAAAAGGAGGCACTGTAAAAACCTGCTTCCTGTCTTTACTGGTGAACTGGCTCCCATATATCCATATTAGGAACACGCAGAGCTTGTGAGAATTCCCAGTGTCAGTTTATAAGTCTTTGCCTTGTGCCCTAATGGAGTTAAAACAGCAGCTGGGTCCGTTGCCACGCTTTGTTTGGTCAAATTTCAAAGAAGTGAAGCGAGATAAGCATGATCGTAAAATATATTGCATTCAAACAGTAAAAAAATAAAAGTTTTATGAAGCACACAAAGTCATGCATAATTGTGTGTAGATACGCAATGAAATGTGTCATAATAGGCCGGTAATTTCACTTTAATGCCATCGCAACAGCTCATTATGTGTCAGTCATATTACACAAGTGATGAGAGGTTTGCATTTACACCCTCCAGGGTTTAGATGTAACATACCTCAGATTTCTCTCATCTCTCTGTATGTGTGTGAGAGAGAYTGGTATGCCAGGGCAGGATTGTCAGACAAGGTGTTAACAGTGCTGTCAGTGACCCTGAGATTGTAAATTGCACCGAGTAAAAAAAAGGTTTTACTAAATTAGGTTTTAATACATACACATGTTTGTCCTTTTTGTCAAATTAGGTAAAGAGTTTTAGGGATAGAGTTTTGAAACACCAAATAACAGGACGTGTTTTGCAGCCATGTGATTTGCCTACTTGCACCACCTCATTGTCTTCAGTTAATATTAAAATAACAATAGGTTGAAATGAGAATATTTTCCCACTGTCTGAACAATCCAGTATTGATAACTTTAAAGGTTTATGGTGCTTCCTCTACCCAAAACAAGCCCCCACTGCCAAGTCAGGGCTCACAAATGTAATCTGCATGCGCCACACCCAGTGGACGCAGCAGAGCCAATCAGAGGCCGCCGTGAGGAAAGATCTCCTTATAAGGGTAGGGGCTGCAGCACGAGCTTGGATAAAATCCTGCAATATATTGGCCTCCATTGCAGTCCAAGTTAGACACTGATAGACTCAGTCACACGTTGCCTGAACGGATAACCCTCCTTCACACAGGTAAGAGAATATTTCAAATCTTTAAATGCGTTCATTAGTATGTTTAGGCTCCCCCCCTGCGTAAATTTTAAGCTTAAAATGTTTTAAAAAGGTTGAACTTTTTTTCAAGTTGGCTCGGGTTGTAGGGATGCTCTGGTTGGGGAGTGTTAATACAGGGATTAACGGTGTTTTGCATGCCGTGAATAGTTGTGCTGCTTCGTGTCCTGTCCAAGTCTTAAATCAGACTGCGTTCTTGCTTAGCCTGCTTTGACGTCGGCACTTTCTCTTATTTCACATTTTTTGGTAAATGTGATTTGATGAATTTGGGATACAGCGTTTAAGTTTGGATGCCAATAGCCAGGCGTGTTTCGGTGACAGTCTGTTAAAGTTGCGTTCAGCTGCTACTGAAAGTTTGTATTTTCGCGTTCTTTCAACCTACCGGCACGCCAGAGTGGGGGGAGTAAATGTAGTCAATGAAATGGCTTTTATTTAATTCAGTAAGGGTAATTTGAAGGGAGTGGTCTGTGTCATCTGAGGTTGGAGCAACATGGGGATGACTTCCGGGTGGGTCTGCCCCAGTCTCCAGTCTGCCCTCACTTTTGTCCTTATATGGGCATGGCCAGACCGGGAGAGATGCTTTCTTTTCTCCTCTCTGGGGAGGGTTTGAATTGGGAACGCGCACAACTGCGACATCCAGCGTACAGGCACCAAACTGACCAGGCTTTAATCTTCTTTATTAGATGAAAAATGAAATATCCCTAATCAAACTTCTTATATCTCCTCAGAAAATGGAAGACGAAATCGCCGCCCTTGTTGTTGACAATGGCTCTGGAATGTGCAAAGCTGGCTTTGCAGGAGACGATGCTCCACGTGCAGTCTTCCCCTCCATTGTTGGCCGTCCCAGGCATCAGGTACAAATTTTTTCCCATTTTTTTCCCCCCCTAATGTCTTCTGTGTGTAGTCTTAAAACTGTAGTCAATTTTTATTATTTTTCTCTCCTTAGGGTGTAATGGTTGGAATGGGCCAGAAGGACAGCTATGTTGGTGATGAGGCACAGAGCAAAAGAGGAATCCTGACTTTGAAATACCCCATTGAGCATGGTATTGTGACCAACTGGGATGACATGGAGAAGATCTGGCATCACACTTTCTACAATGAGCTGAGAGTAGCCCCTGAGGAGCACCCAGTCCTACTGACAGAAGCCCCCCTGAACCCCAAGGCCAACAGAGAGAAGATGACCCAGGTAAGGTTAACAGAATAATAGATTTAATTGAAACTGTATTCTCCTCTACAGGGCCCTACAGGACACTTGAGGCATTTTCTTTATGGCTCAATCTGTCATTTTCCTCCTGTTCAACTTCTAGGCTTCTCCCTGAGCTGATCTTTTTCATCTCTACGGATGCTTCAGGTTTCTGTCTTTACTGCATCAAGAATGAGTAGTTGCAGCATGTTCACTGCTGTACTAAATTTGATTTGCTAGAGCAGATCAAGACTTAATTGAGTGTCTGCATGACTGAACCATTAACTGAACAAGCTGAGTGAGATTCAAGACTTCTACAGTCATTGACAAAGTTTTTACATTTTTGGCCAGTGATTGCACTAACCACTACAAGCTTCCTCGGGTTACTTTGATTCAGTTAAGACTTAACTGCTCATTTCCTCTCTCCCTCCCAGATTATGTTTGAGACCTTCAACACACCTGCCATGTACGTTGCCATCCAGGCTGTACTGTCTCTGTACGCCTCTGGCCGTACCACTGGAATTGTCATGGACTCTGGTGATGGTGTGACCCACACGGTGCCAATCTACGAAGGCTACGCTCTGCCCCATGCCATCCTAAGGTTGGACCTGGCTGGCAGGGACCTCACAGACTACCTCATGAAAATCCTGACTGAGAGGGGATACAGCTTCACCACTACAGGTATGTTTTTATTTTTTTATTTTTTTTTAGTACATTTAACACTTAATGATGCAGAAAGACTAACTTTATGTTGTCCCACAGCTGAGCGTGAGATTGTGCGAGACATTAAAGAGAAGCTGTGCTATGTTGCACTGGACTTCGAGCAAGAAATGGGAACTGCTGCCTCCTCCTCTTCACTGGAGAAAAGCTACGAGCTGCCTGACGGCCAGGTCATCACAATTGGAAATGAGAGGTTCCGCTGCCCCGAGTCTCTCTTCCAGCCTTCTTTCCTTGGTAGGTAATCGAACCGGGTCAAGTTTCAATGGCTGTAGGTTTTATAAAATAAGACACTAACCCTTTTATTGCAATTTTTCTACAGGCATGGAGTCCTGCGGTATTCATGAGACTACCTTCAACAGCATTATGAAGTGTGACGTTGATATCCGTAAAGACCTGTATGCCAACACTGTCCTGTCTGGTGGTACAACCATGTACCCTGGCATTGCAGACCGTATGCAGAAGGAGATCACTGCCCTGGCCCCCACCACCATGAAGATCAAGGTAAATATGAAAGCTTATTGTGGAATGCAGAAAATTCACTGCTTGGAGTTGTGCAATAGACCCGAGCACAAATGATTTATCTTAATATTTGAACCTACTTTTTCCTCTTTGCAGATCATTGCTCCTCCAGAGAGGAAGTACTCTGTATGGATTGGAGGTTCCATCCTGGCCTCCCTGTCCACCTTCCAGCAGATGTGGATCAGCAAGCAGGAGTATGATGAGTCTGGTCCCAGCATTGTCCACAGGAAGTGCTTCTAAACAGACTGTCAATTCCTGTACCCCACTTCCCTCTAAAAAAAAATACCAAAACAAAACACTGCTCAATGGGCTCTGCATAAAAGCACCAACACTGTGCTGAGCCTACACCTCTTCCCATTCTGTTATCACTCTGGCTATGGCACTACGCCCTCTGATTGGGCTAACTACATGAAGTACAGAGCATCCAGGTGTGACTGTGGAAAAACATGTCGGTTGTCGTGTTGTGTAGGTCATTTCAGATGTCTTCGTTCACCACCTTATTTGCCTCTATGAAGGTTTATTCTCTGGTGGGCTTTGCTGCCCAACAGAACTGTAGTATTGCTTAATATGTAAATTATGTAATCTGAACTTTAGTTTTTGTTTTTTGTACTTTCAGCCTTAAATGAGTCCAGTTTTGTCATCATGCAAAAATACAAAACAAGGCTTCTACATTGTGTTGAGGTGTATGAAGGATTGTGCATGGGGCTTCAAGCCTCTGTACGCAACAACTCAATAAAAGTGCACATGTCTAAACTGTCTATGGGGTGTTTGTTTTTGGCAACACTAATAGTGCCCTTATACTGACTTACCTAACAACCTATAACTGAGTGTAGATTGTAGTGAAAGAACATGGTACAAAATATTTACTTGTGTAAGGTCTTGCAGTATTTAATGTGTTCATGCATTTGAGTAAAGATACTTTTGAGGTGGTGTATACCTATAATCAAACTGAATGTTCATGTCAGTGTACATAACTGCAAGTACTCTGATTAGGAAATACTACCTTTTTTTTTTTTTCAAAATTATTTGGACAGTCATGTACAACTAATAAATTACACATTATTGCATTAACTTATGTCAAGACTACTACTGCACATTAAGTCTATGCTAATGAACTGCAACAGCTCCCCCTGCTGTGTAAAATGTAGCTTTCCCTCTGTGTTCAACTAAAAGCTGTTTTTGTTTTCCCCGTTTGACCTTGCCACAGATGGGTGAACACACTAACAGGACAGAGGTTGAAATTTTGCATAAAAGGTCAGTTTACAGCAGCCTTTAAGGACATGGATCAGCCGCTGCATAAACTGCAGCCTGCATGAGCTCAGACCATAGCCTGTAGCATCAATCAATGCTCTTTACACTTGATACTAATAGTTCTATCCCTGTATACAATAATCTGCCTAAGTTTAATGGTCTGATCTGGTAAGGACAATTCGTTTTCTTTGTGAAAACATTACTGTACAAAAACTGAATAGCTTAACCGAGTTTTTTTTGATCACTGAAAAACCTTAATTTGGTGTATTTAAATTATTGTTAAATGTTTTTAAAAAATAGTCATGTTCCAAAAACTGTATTCAAAGTTCCTAATGTGTATCAAAAAAAAAAAAAAAATACAAAGCATTAGATAACAATTACAGACCGCATAACCAATTTAATGTTTTCTTTTCTCAATATTTCCAAACTTTCGTTTATTCTGGAAACATGTTCTGTTTGGCTTTCAACAAAATTGACTTCAAAGGAATTTGTTATTAATCTTTTAATCATTCAGGCCAAATTTCATTTACATAAAAAAATGTTTAACGAAAAAAATTTTCATCTCCTTCGTGATCGAATTTACACAATATATACACTCAATTCACTTTTCTACTAATCAGAAGGCAAAAAATTACATTCTTGTTCACTTTTTGGAATTGCTGATTTATTTTTTTTATCTTGGTTGGTTTTTTGTGATTTAATCGTTTTATCTATTGTTTAAGTTTATTTCTATTTTTATTGTGGCAGGATGAATTGCACCTGCTGGCAGGGTAATTGTGGTGTTGTGGCAGCCAATGACACTAGAGGGTGCTCCCTATAAAAAGCACAGGTAAACTGCAGGTTTAGATTAGATTGGTTGGCTGAAGACACGTCACCGTGTGGTCCAGTGT